TTTTAATAAAACCTGTTAGAAATGTGAGGTTTAGGTAAAGTAGGATATGCAGAAATTATCCGCTTGGTTTGGTTTTCTTCTTTTATGCCAAACCGTATGATGTTTAATTCAGTGCATCAGTATCTTATCAAATACTGTAAGTTTTAAATCTGGGCATTGGAGCATTTTTCTTTCTTGACTATCCATTGACAGTATTGCTGCACTAACGGTGAGATAGTATAACTGAGCTGCAGCAGCACTTAGCTAGTGTTTAGTGGTGCTTCTAGAAAGAGTCCTGAATGCTGCCTCAATTTAGACTGCTTTGCACTTTGGGTTTGTAGTTTTATCAAGAAATGTACTTGGGCAGCCTTAATTCTCAGGTAAGACTGTGTGCACTGCTTGCCTGTTTGCAGCAGCTAGATCATAGCTGAGGTTAGAGGTGACCCAGCTCTCCGTCCACAGCTCTGCTGAAGGCATCAGGGCACAGAGAGACTGCTTCTCAGAAGATTAAATTAAACTAAAAGAAAAGCTGCCCATATCTGAACATGGGACTTATCTAAGTACATAAGCTGCTGCAGCCACACTCCTGAAGTTAGTCAATAATAAAGAGTCAGGTAGACGATATGTCTGTAAGAGCCATAAACAGCTTTAAAAGACAACTGCTTCATGAAACTTCAAAAACTGTCACAAGTCTGCTGAAAAACTGGGCCAAACTCCTTGCATTCCTTGCCAACATGTCCCCCCCCCACCCCACAGAGAATGAAATGATGTATTGGCTTTGCACTTGCCACGTCTCGAACACAGTGAGCTCTGCAGTTACTCAGCCCAAACTCAAGCCAGAAGCCACAGCAGGCAGAGAAGGAGACTGAAAATGAAACAGGATGAAATTACAACACAGGCAAAAATTGTGCCAAGAGTTCTGCTTCTGAAATATTCCTTGCCCCTATGTCTGAGCAAAGGATGGTGAGTTTCAAAAGGAAAAGCGCAGCTACTTTGAAATCAAATCAAAGCAAACCCCAAAGAAAGGAAATATGAGACCGGCACTGATACATAATAGATATATCTAGTTTATTTCTCTGATGGAAAGCTGTATTCCCTGAATGCATAAAGTATTTTTTAACTCTGTTGCAGACAACTGATTTGGATTATACAGAGACCTCATGGGTATATATGTATTGTTTCTCATCTTTATTTTTGATGTTTATATCCTTATTTTTATCTGTGATATAGGAACTAATGTTCTGAAAAGCCAGATTTGCCACTAAGGGTCTATATATTTACTGGCCATATCTTAAGAAACTAGCATATATTCCCCCTCTGTCACATTTAAGCGTGATTGAGTATGTGCTGTTTATTCATTGGTCCATTTTGATTTCTTCTTTTTTGCCTATTTTTATGGCATTGTTTTACTAAAAGAAAAAAAAAGTAGTAAATCATCAGTTACCATTTACATATACATAAGTATAGCTGCAAATATGTCTTCCTTTCTCTTCTGGGTTTCAGTTTTTATCTCCATGTAAGATCTGTACATTCTGAATTCAAGATACAGCATGACCTTTATTTTCTTAGTCTGCTGTGACCTCTGGGGTAGAACCAATACCCTTTTTTTCTCATGAAAGTAAATTCAGATGTTAATTGAGCTGGATACAGCAATTTGCCAACTCATGTAAGTGAAGTGAAAACACACAGCTCTCAGTCAGGCTCATTTTATGAGTGTACAGGAGAAAAAAAACAGGAAGAAAAAATTACACATCATCTACTGCTACAACCAGAACTGCACTCAAGCAAATGAGCACAATTAACAGATTGGATCCCAGGTTTAGGAAATGTCCAGATCCAGATCCACCAGACATGACAGCCTATCTGGAAGCTCTCACCACTGCCTCACAAAAAAACTGACAGATGCTCATCAGAATCGTTACAAAATTTCCTGGCTAATCCCCCAAAACTTCTAAACAGATGTTAAAGTCCCTACTTTAATTCATTCTGAATTCAACAACTGAGGATGTAATGAAACTAGATCAGGTGGGTCTTTTAAAGTATAAATCATAAAATGGTTTATGCCAAAGTGCTGTATTCCCAGTGATGAGAAAGTAGGAAAATATAGTAGTGGATAAATAGGCTGTGTGGGAAGAAGATACAACACATTGTAGCCAGATCCCCATAGATGTTAAAAATGAAGGGCATCAAATTTAAAGGAAAGGCAGCAGAAAACACATCTTAGAGGATGGCACAATCCAGAGACCATTTCATTAGTTTTTTGAATTATCCACAGTTCCTTTTGCCAAAGTTTATGACTAAAAAAAAAAAAAAAAAAATTATTTTCAAACCCATTATTAAAACATTTCAGCTTCTGAAAACTGCTTTTCCAGCCTATCTTTTTTTTTATTTTATTAGACCATAAATATGTCAATACAATTTCATTAAAGGCATAATGAAAGACATTACCGGCAACAGTGGCAAATGGGTTCATTCGACAATTTGCAAAACGAGAACTGTCAGTATTCCCCTAGCTTTTCCTGATGATGCTTCAGGCTTTGGACTGTTTCCCCAGGGGAAAAAGCAGATAAAATGAATAAATGGCTTCCCCCCAGCAATAAGAGGAGTCTATTAAACAGCTTTGTGGCTGTGCGCTTTCTAGGAACAGGCATTTAGCACAGGAGAAGGTGACAACTTCTTTTGAACTAAACCAAAGTAGAATTCGGGCCAAAAAAAAGGGGTTTGGTTCTCCCTCAGTGCTGCCCTTCAAGAGGGAAGCCCAGCAGCACATTTGTGGAGGCACAAAAGGCTTGTGGGGCGGGTCTCCCCAACAACAGAGACCAGGGGGGCTGGTGGGAGATGGCAGACCCAAAAGCCACCACAGTGGCTCCCCTTGCAAGAGAGGTGGTCTCCACCATGGAGACAGACCCCTGGGAGCTGGGCCAGCACTGCTGGGCACTGGCAAGACTCCCTCGGGGTTTGCCCAGCTTCTCTTACTCTCTCCCTCAGGACCCTCTGCCAGCCATCAGCAGAGACAGGGTATTTGGCACTCTTCATTTCTTACAACACCGTGACTTGCTAAGGCAGGCTGTTTTTTCTGCTTCTGAATCCAGAAACCACAGGGCTCAACACAAGCAGTGCAGAATTGCTACACAACACATTTGAAATCCTCTCTACCTAATCTGTTGCATTTCAGGGGTCTTGTTTTGATCAAAACACTCTAGTTCTTGACAAACTACCTCGTTTTCTAAATATACTCCTTCTCCCCACTTCCACTATGTCCTGAGGGGGAACAAGCCTAGGATATTAAACCGCATGGACTGAAGCTACAGTATGGATATACTTTTTACAACCCACAGAAGAAAATGACAGGAAAAAAGAGGAGCACACATTAATTCACAATTCCCTTAGGGGAAATAGCTCCAGCCCCAGCCTCCATATGTACCATTACTTCAAGGGTTATCTTCATTGAAGAGCATTCCCAGTGTAAACAAGGAAGTCTGTATTTCTTCAGTATTGAAAAAACACATCTTGGTTTTGGTTTAGTTGAATCCTTCCTTTTTAACCTAAAGAAAATAAAGCAAAAAAACACCAATCAAACAAAAAACATCTTCTTTATGCTAAACATTTTAATCTATCAATCACCAAGTTTTTGAAACTTGCCACATCATTAAACACCACTAAAAGCCACACAGAACAAAAACATTATCACTAGAGATACATCACTTCAGCACAGGCTCATGAAGGAAGACGCTTTTACAGCATTTCCTGAAAAATCCACATAATTGGATAGCCTCTACAGTGGAGCTGCCTCTTCCCTGCTGGGTCTGAACATACCTCTTCCGGCAAGGAATTACTTAGCGCCTAGCATCAGGAGTAGCAGTAGTCTCTCTCCGTCTCTGTCATTATGATCAACTTGGACACGGCACTTGTGTTAACACACCTTGGGTTCAAACTCCTGCAGACTGCAGGCAGTCTTTGTGTTTGAAATCATTCACAGAAAGTACAGTTTGAAACGATTTAGGGGTTTCTTTATGGAAGTATTCTACTACCACTTAACATGAAATATATAGGAACTGCCTCAGTGCTGGTCCGTTCATTAAAGAATCGACTGTTCTTTCTCCATGACCATAAAAGTGGACGTATTTTTGAGAGCTTTTCTGGTCACATACAGGCTGGATATTAAATGAAATTGGAGAGCCTATCTGAAGCACCAGCAAGAGGGAATGTGAGCACTAAGAGTGTGGGAAATCTTGAGAGGAGCTTGAACATTGTTTGAACATGCTGTCAAAACAAGGATTAGTCAAAAAATACCATCCTCTGCAGCCCAAAATGTGCCTGTCAATGCACCAATGCTTAAACCAAGGCAGCCTTCCAAGATCAGTTGTCCTGACTGCTGGCACACCTGCCCCATGCTGGAAATGCTGGAAGCTGTGTGGTCCCTCAGCTGGAGCCAGTCTGCTGGTGATCCCTCCCAGAGTCCTGTTTGGTAGCAAGCGCCAGCAGCTGCCCAGGGAAATTGGCATCGCTGCCCATTCATGCTGGAGGTGGCAGTAAAAGTGACAAGAACGTCAGTCTCACTCTGCTGAAATGCCCTGTCCTGGGAGTTTGTCACTCAGCACAGATTTCAGAATCAGAAAAATGTTTCTAGCTCAGATAACACTGAGGTAGAAAACAAACCCAGGAAGAGAAGGATGGAGAGGTTATTTCATATCAGGGAAGCTTCTCTTTTTGGCTAGCTCTTCTAAAGGGTGAAAAACAACTCCACAGTACCTGGGGTTTGACAACACGCCCTCTGCTTGGCCCTGAAGCTCCCATGCCATCTTTCAGTTCCTCCTCTAAGGACCCAAGAGTTTTCCAATATGTCATAAAATCACTCTTGGCTCTTCCAAATTAGTTTGGACACAACTCATTTCAATTAAACAAGGCTTCCAGTAATGTATTTCAAACACTTTTGGTTGAACATGTAATGAGTAGAAATGGCTGGGAGGAGTGACAGTGACCTACTTGGGGAATTTCTCCTGCAAAGGAAATAAATAGAAGGTTGTTAGATACTTTTGCACTGCATAATCACTTTGCACTGTTAGTATCCCCAGACAGTGATATGTGTATAAGAGGGTGCTGCAGTTGGGATCATTATTCCTCACCAGCAATGGCTGCAGCAGCACCTTTCTACACCACTTTCCCACAAGAAACCCAGAGGAAAGAACAGTGATAGATTATAAAACTGCTGTGAGCATGAAGTTACTGCCCCTTCCTCAAAGTCTGACCTCCACAAGCAAAGCCTCTCTCTCCAACCCCTAAAGGCACAGTTAACAAACTTAAAGTCCCTGTCTTTGCAGTGAGAGTGCTTTCCTGGAAATGGGGACCTGGATCCTACCCCAACTCTAATGGTTATCCACAGATTTTACATGAAACAATCATTGAATAAAGCACAGAAACATCCAGTGAGCAGAAGTATCTGGTGCTGCCAGCTCGAATCCCCAGCAGTCCTTCCTCCACCGCACACATACCCCCTCCTGACCTGCAGAAAAACAGACATTTTCCTGCTGCTCATTTCTTATTTTGGTACCAGTTCTGAGCCTCTTCCTCCCTGGGGCTCTCTCCTGCACCCTCCCTAGGAGGGCGTCTTTGGCTAGCATACCCCCTTGTGCTGGGCTCCTCTAGGAACAGAAGGATGCTTTCATGAGGAACATGTGCATCATGAATCTGCAGGAAAAATGTCCATATGCTGTAGCACAGCCTGAGATTTCAAAACAGAAGCTCCTCCTGCATCAGAGTTGAAGCAAAGCTTTGAAGGCTTTTTTGCAGTGAGAGATCTCCCACTAACTAGGAGGTGCAGAATGGGCAGGAACTGGGTCCAAGTCTTTCACCAACATGCAGCAGAAAAAAAAAAACTCCACAAAAATATCTATATCTATGATGTCATTTACCTACATCTGAAAACTGCCCTCACTTCATCGCATTTGAACCACATGTGTCCTCATAACAGCAACTTTCAATCTTCCACTTCAATACGTTTAATTCTTTAGTGTTCTGGTATCAGCAAGGACATTAAAACTACTACAAAACATGTCAGTTAAACATATGCCCATTACATAAACTTATATGAATGCAGTGGGACTAAAAGCTGTGCCATTATGTTAATACTATTGAAAACACATATCTATATGTATAGATGTGCGTGTGTTAGCAGCTATATTGATACAGTAAGTGTATGTGTGAAATCCAGCCCACTGCTGTCAGTAGCAAAACTCCCTGTGGATCCAAAATTATATAGAGCTTCATCTTATAAGCAGATTTACAGGTAGTCTAGTTGAGATGTTGAAGACCACCAGAAGGATTTGGCATCCAAATTCCATATGCAACTTCAAAAGTCTTTGCTTTGAAAATCTGGGTGTATAGTCAAATGCATTGGCTGGCAAACACAACTGTAGGTTGCTGCCAAATTATTGTTTAGCTACAAATAATTGTACGTAAACACTTGTATGAACTTTATTTATGAACATGTTTTCCCAAAAACATAACTGTGGGTGCAAATGCACACATCCCATCCTGACAATTCAGTCCTTACCTTGTACCTGCTACTTAGCCCTTAAAATCCCACACACAGCAAACAAACAGAAAAGAATTTAAAAGGTTCTTCCCAGACTTCCCCTGGAGCAATATCCAAATACACACTTTGGTTTATCCCCGACGAAATCTTGAAGTCAAACAAGCAAACCCCTCAAATGAGCTTCCCAGGTCTGAGCAGATACAGCTTAATTTGCCACAGTCCTTTGTGGAGCTGCTGTTCCATGGAAAGCAGCAGGTCTTGATCTTGGCCTCTAACAGATGGCCCCAACAATATGACAGTAATAGCATCTGACATGTGTTGTTTCAATGATCTCTCTATCTTTCGGAGAAGTATGCAAGCGTTACATACCGTGTGCTGCTTCAGACTGTTATTTTTGGCATGCTTCTGCTGGCATATGTTATGATGAACCATTCACAACATCGTACATTTCCAAAATAAAGAGGAAATAAGAGAGTAGGTCCGTAAGCCTATCTTTCAACTCTGTTTCCAAGGTAATATTTCTTTTGCATAAGGGTCAGCTCCAAAGAAACCAAAACCCAAACTGCATATTGAGGGATTACCTGTATTGCAGAAACTAGAGTCCTGGGGATGGTACAGAGACAGGCTGATGGAAATATTTATGGCCTGGCTCTCAGAGTGTTTCACAGTGACACATAATCAGTTTTCTACAGTGTGCATCAAACAGTGGCAAACTACAGTCTGAGTGGCACCTGGTAATTAGGGGGCTATGAGAAGGGGAGTGGAGGTAAGTCAGAAAGCACTGAGTGTCCCATCAAAGTGGAGTTTACCTGATAATTACAGGGGTAACGAACCTTTCCCCTTCCAAGCTCAGAGGATTTTCTTAAGGAACTTGTGATTTTACTCATTGCCAGGTTTAACAAAACAGGATTTCAGGCAGTGAAATGCTGTCAAGTGCAAGTAGCAAAATCTAGCTAAAGCAGAAACATCAATGATTTTCACTGAGTGCAAGTCATTGACACGTCTTAGCATCATAAACCACTCCTGATTGCTTTCTTTCACAAATGAGCTGCTGCCAAATAGAGGACAGACGGCCACAGGGAAACCCATCTCAGCTGCTTTCCTCAATTTGCAGTTACACCCCAGACCACTTTTCCTCCTTAAAAGCTTATCTAGCTCCTCATAAAATTATTTGTTATTGCTGTGTGAGTTGTTTATCCAGTCAATGGAGGACAGGCTCCAGCAGCCCTCACTGCTTACCCCTCCAGGCCCTTACCTCTCCTTGACTTCAGTCAGTGCTGCCTTTTCCTCTGGCTTGGCTCAGCCTCACTCAGCTCCCACAGCCCCATCTCTCCTTCACAGTCCTGTGCTTTTTTTAAGCCACCTCTTCTCCAAAGAAGCAGGGACTCATGTTAGTGCCTCTGAAGGGGCTTTTAAGCACAGAGGTGTGAAAAAGCTACAACACAGAGATAGAGGTGAAAAAAAAATCACAAGATTTGGTTGTTCTGTTTAAAAGAAGAAAGCCAAACATTTTGCAGCATAGCCTTGAATTTTTCTCTGCAGGAAGAGGAACGCTGCATGCGTCTGTAACAAAGGTGCCAAAACTTGTGCAAAGCTGCATCATTTGCACTAGAAGCATTAGAGATGTTTCAGGAGTTATAGCCCTCAAAAGTGATCACTTCTCTCCCATTCTGGCTATAGGCCATGAGAGGGGCTTAGAAAATAATGGAGACTAAGAATGGAGAATCCCAGCCAAGTGACATGGAGAAGAATGTCTGATTGCAGCGTACTGAAAACCTGCTGGGAAAAGGCAAGGGGGAAAGCAGGGAAGAGTGGGAAAGGTTCTGGAAAAACACCTGAGCAGGGAAGGAGCCACTGTGATGGAGACAAGGCCAAATGCAGACTGGTGCTCTTTGGATACAGGACAGACAAGGGAAGACATGAGTCTCCATGAAGCCACTGGGGTGTCAATACCAATGTCAGTGTCTCCAATTAACAGCACTCAGGCTATTTAAACACACGCACTTGCACTGGTCTCCATGACGGCTCAGACTACTACAGCAGAAAGAGTGGGACAAGGAAGAAGGACAAGAGGAAACTAGCCTGCTTTGCAAGAGGGACAATCTCAAACGGTTCTGGGGAAAGACTTCTACCTTTGGCATCAGTGAAACAGAAGTGGCTGCCCTCAGGGGTTGGGCGTTGTGATGGGTGACACAACCAAAGTTCCAGCTCCCATTTCTTCTGCAGTCACCAGAGGGGCTCAATTCATCACCCATATGCAGAAGACATCTGATGCCTTCTTCCTTTCTGTATCATTGTTCTTCTTTCCTGTGCTTTTATTTCCCTGCACATCCCAGCATGTCCCTTCCAAACCTTCAGATAAAACATTCAGCAATAAAGCAAGTGGCACTGACATTGAGTGAAACCAAGGAGTGCAAAGCTGGCACTTCACTGAGATGAATGAGGTGGAAAGGTTCATGCTTTTTGGTTAAGGCTGCCTGCAGACAGACAGAAAGGTTAATTAGACTGGGACTTTTTTTTTTGCACAGTTAGAAATTCACTAGTTTTAACAGATTTGGTACTCTGTGATGCAGTCACACCAGTCTTTTAACTCAACTCACTTAGACACAAGGAAATTATTTTATGTGAAATTATAGAGCAAAAGTGTAATTTCTCCCTAAACTAAAGGAACTTTTCCAAACAGCTCCAATCCACGCTCATTTTTACAGTTCAGTATTTACTTAAGAGCTGTTCGAGTTTGAATAATATCTTTGCAGAAAATGGCACAGCAGACTCCATATTTACAATATTTCCAGACTTCCACATCTATGCACCTTGTTAAAAGTTAAAAGGAATTCATTGCTTTTTCCCAGACTCTTTGTCCTCCAAATTCAGCCTGGAACCTAACATTCAAAAAAGAAGAAAAAAGCTATTGTAGTTGGTTTTTCACTATCTATCACAGACATCATCAGTAATAAGCACGTAAAACGCAATCAGGAGTTTTAACCATCTTAGTCATTGCTGTGGTGTCCCCAGGCTATGTGGAAAGACAACAGCCAGCCTGTAGATCCTGTCTGTACAGGTGCAAGGGGGCACTTGTGGTCACACCATCACTGTGCCTGCCTGCTGTCACTTGCCTGTTAGCACAGGTAGGGCCATGGAGCCTGCCATATTGACAGCCACCCTCTCTTCCCCTGAAATAAAGGGCTATCACTTTCTCCTTCAGTCCTCGCTAGTCACAAAGGAGGCCGAAATACCAATATCTCCATTAAACAACATAGAGACTTCACTTCTCTTTTTTTTAATCAGGGCAAGATAGCTCTTGTGCTAACTCAAATTCCCGCTGTACCTCTGAGAGGAATACTCACTCTAAGTACTGGTAGTTAAGCTAAAGAGAAGGCAAAATCCAAGTAACTTTGTCCTAACACTGGCTTCATTTTGCTTCCTCCAGTTCTTGATGCACAGAGCCTGAGTTCTTAGCAGAGATGGACCATGCATCAACAGCTGCAATGTCCAGCCCAGTGAAGATGTGCTTGACTCTCTTCTTTCAGGCAGAAGACCTTTTAGAGCTTTGGTCAGTTCTGCTTCCAGAAGGCTACTGTATTTTGGAGGAGGGGAGAAAGGACTTTACCTGCCTGAGTTTTAAAAGGAGCAGACAACACTCTCCTGATTTTGTGAAATTAGTCTTCCTAGTCCCAGTCAACTGTTCATGACTTCAAGGAGACTTGCTCAGGGAAATGCCTGATTGGAAATCACAGTCAGGCACTTGCTGAGTGATAACAGTGGCAATTCTGGGTCTTTCCAGAGATTTAAGAACAGGGAAAAGCCAGAGTCAATCCTTATGGCACTTAATTCATATATCTTTAGGGTGTAAGCAGGAAAGGAGGTTGTATTTTCCATGGTTTTTGACTTAGATGTTTACACTTTGCCTAAACAATACTTTCATGCCTTCTTTTTTGGCACTGATGCCTAAATTCAGGTAAAGACCTGCTGAAGACATTGGGTATTTTCCTACTAACTGGCTACCCCTTTAATTAACTTCTACATAAATAGAAAATTGACAGCCTGATGTCATGCCTGATGTTGATGCTGGTAATATTAAGGTTGACTGTAAGTGGCTCTCTATTCTGTAATGAGACTGGTACTTTATTCGGTTCCTGGTGAAAGCTAGAGAGCAGGAAAGATTAGGCTGGTGGAAGATGAAAATGTTACTGGGAAAAGCACTCAAGGAACATTATAAACAACCTTTTGATAGAAGGAGCCTTACTTTGGTTTGCAGCCAAAAGGCCCGGCTAGATGCTCAACCAGCACCTGGCAATCATGTAGCTGCATTAGCTGGCATGGGGTCTCTCAACTCCAGCTGGTCAGGAGCTTGCAAAATGACTGTCCATTACATTTATTATCTCCTGATTATTCTATTTACAACACATGCTCTCCCCAGGGGGCCCCCTGGACAAGCTGCTGCAGAATCACTGTATGCAGCAGTTGTACTGTGGAGGCTCCTACTGCAAGCACTCGCCTTCGGCACTCAAGAATCTGTACTGGCAAGCTGTTAGTTTTCACCTATAATTACCAAAATGTCTTGGGATCTCCCTGTCTGTGAGACACTGCTCTCCTCAGGTGATCAGACTGTCACACTGGCACTCAGCGGATATGCTCAAGCGGTTGCCTTGCCAATTTAAGAAAGAGCAGGACCTGCTTGCAACGATTTTGCTGAAGAGGGCTTCAAGCTTTGAGGTATTTTCCTTTAGCTTTAACAGAAAGGTAAAATTCTGTGGAATCTCTTGACTTTTACAAGTACCTCATAAAGTCTAACAAAGCTTTTGCAGTGATAATAGCAGTGGTAAAGAGGAGGCATGCAATCAGTATTTTATGTTTTATATTTATATATTATATTTTATATTTATATATCACTACTCAGCACTTAATCTGTAAATAAAAAGGACATCACTGGATTGTGCATCCGAATCAGGAAAAAATGAAGGAATGTATCTTTTCTGAGAACTTTAAGGAGAGTGGGGGAGGAAGAGAACACAGGTCCCTGACAGAAATACATCAAATCAATGGCAAGACTTGCACTGTGGAAAACAGATTTTGCAATTCTGAGCAGGACACAAGAGCCATCCACATTTTCATTAACAAACAAACTCGTCACCTACTATTTCCAAACAATTCACCCACAGCATTCAGATCAAACACCCAAACTATCAACACTGTGAGAACAAAAAATGCAGCTCCAGCTTAATTTCTTTCACTTTCTTTTCCTTTGTAAAGCACCACACATCTCAGCCTGATTTTCATTTTGCTTACAACTCTCTACCTGATTTACATTCACATGCCAATATGCCTGCCATCAAATTTGCTCACACCATTTCCTTGTAGACCCCAAGAGTTGAGCACAGAAAGTTAATGTTGGTAGTTTAATGCCTTGAGACGGAGAATTAAAAGCTGTTCTCCTGGCATCAAATTAACCCCAGCTTTTTTGAATATAAAGTATATAGCAAGGGGCTACTCCCTTGGTCTTTATCAAATGGGTGAAATATGCCCACATGCACAGAGACTGAGATTAACATGAATTTACATAAAGCAATATGGACCTGTGTGGAAGAGTGGGTTGTATGAGGGAATACAAGGACCAACGCACACTGCCCATGGGCAATCATTATTCTGTAGGAATGGTCACATTTTTTCCATGTGACGGATGAACAGCAGATTGTGTTTTGATACTGATTTTGAAACAGGTCCTTGAAATTAGCTAGTGGGATCAAAGAGAATGAGGATATGAACTTACTGACTCCAGATAACAATATCCTCAGTTTCTACCTCATCCATAAAGCTATATTCTTGGTGTATGCCCTACTTCATCACCTCCAGAAGTCCAGGAGAATGAGGTTCCATCTGTGGTTTTCATAGAATCATAGAATAGTTAGGGTTGGAAAGGACCTTAAGATCATCAAGTTCCAACCCCCCCTGCCGTGGGCAGGGATGTCTCACCCTAGACCATGTTGCCCGAGGCTCTGTCCAACCTGGCCTTGAACAATTCCAGGGAAGGATGATTCACAACTTCTTTGGGCAACCCATTCCAGTGCCTCACCACCCTAACAGTAAAGAACTTCTTCCTTATATCCAATCTAAATTTCCCCTGTTTAAGTTTGAACCCATTACCTCTTGTCCCACCACTATAGTCCTAATGAAAAGTCTCTCCCCAGCATCCCTATAGGCCCCCTTCAGGTACTGGAAGGCTGCTATGAAGTCTCCATGAAGCCTTCTCTTCTCCAGGCTGAACAGCCCCAACTTTCTGGAAGCTCTCCTGTGCCCCTGCCCTGTTAGGCCTCCCCACACCCCAGCATGGGCTTTCTTCCTCCTTCTCCCTCCAGGCTCATGTGTCTGCCAGCGAATAAAGTAGGGCTGTCACCTTGACAGGGTCAGCAGTGCTGGAGACACCCTGTGCTGTGGCACCTACCACAGGTGTAAAACCGGGCCTCTCCTTCCCTGCTGCCTGACCGGAGCAGACAGGGAGCAAGACTTCAACGCCACCCATCCTTTGCATGGCTATGGCTGTAGTTGATGGTTTACAATACCAAAACACAGCCTGTGGCTCTGCCTCCTCACACTCCCAGCATCAGCCCTGAGCTGTCACTCAGGCAAATATTTTCCTGGCCTTGCCACAAGCCAGTGACTGACTTCCAGGGACTCCCACTGGGAGAGCCCCCTGGGTGCAGCCCACGGATGTGAACAGCCCCTTGTCATCAGCAGTTCCCTGGGGTTAATTACCCCTTTTAACACAGCAGCTGTAGATTCTTCATGGTTGTATAAACAATGCCTGTCTCCTTATCTATTGAAGTTCCAATCTGGCTCCTCATCACCATACTTTCTGTGCTGTAATTATAACATTATTAATGGTTATCCATCCTCTGTGAAGTAAAGTAATCTTGACTACACCAGTTAATCAATACTTGGACAAATGAACTAAGCTCTTCCCTGGGCCAAGGATAAGTAATTGTAATTATGAGATGTGCTCAGCTGGTGAAGTACAGCTACTAACGTGTATCCAGCAGTGAAGTGAAGCCCAAGTATCTACCAAAAGACTGGTTTCACAGAGGCACTATTTCTTTAAGTGTAGTTTACACTACTTGAGTAGTTTACACTACTTTAAGTGTAGTTTACATTACTATAACTGTCTCTTTCACGGACACCCCCTTGCCGTGGGGGAAGAGCTTGCATGCCCTTGTGAAGTTGGGAGCTATGCTGGTGGTGGCTTATGCTTCCGGTAGGGTCTCCCATGCCAGTCAGGTCTCAAATGAAGGGTCAGACAAAGTGTGTCCATGGGCAGGATGGGCTTACTAGCCTTCGGGCAACCATCCTAGGAGAAGGACAACTCCAACTTCAAACCCAGGCAGATGGAGCTCATATAGCCCTGTAAGGCCTTCCATCTAAGAGAAGGATACTCTAATCAAACCTATGACCTGAGGACTTTGCTGTCGCCATCCTAGCTGGCTAGGCCCTGGCAGATAAACCTCAGGTGTAAAGGGTGAGGCCAGTTCTGCGCACGCTGTGCCTCACCTAAAATAAATCCACTGCGCAGGCCCGAAGGGTTTACCCACACTTGCAAAGCCCTGTAGTGACAGGTGAGGGACGAAACGGCAGGTGATAAGGTGCACTGGAAGCCACAGACCCAACCCTGCATGCAGGCTGTTTGGGACATTGGTCGCTCGAGACTGACCCAGGAGATGACAGTCTTGTTCGGCAGCATCCTGAATGACCAAGCAGCCTTTTTCAAGGACAGCACTGCTTGCTCCATATGGAGAGAGGCCTAGAAAAGGTGGCCTAACCAAAGCTCATCTCCCCCTCCACCTGGTTGGCTAGCCGCAGCCAACGGGCATCTTCTATTGCGGTCAATTAAAGACAAAGAGACAAAGGCATACACCTGCCTCCAAAGGTGTGTCCAGATTGACACTCGCATGTTGGAACATCAGAACCATGCTTGATACAGCGAACAGTCGGCATCCTGAGTGCCTTTCTGCGCTAATTGCCCATGAATTGTCATGACTTAACATCGATATTGCTGCTCTCAGTGAAGCTCGCCTTCATGAGGAAGGTAGCCTCAAAGAACATGGTGCTGGCTATACACTCTACTGGTCAGGCAAACCCAAAACTGAAAGTCATCTTTCTGGAGTCGGCTTCATGATTAAAAACTCCATAGCCTCTAAACTTGAAAATTTGCCGATAGGTCATTCCGACCGTATTATCTCCTTACGTCTTCCACTACACAATAAGCAACACGTTGTTCTTTTCAGCATATATGCTCCAACTCTGCAAGCTGACCCTGCAGAAAAAGAAAAATTCAACTCTGACCTGCGTCACCTCACTCAGAAAGTTCCTATAGAAGATAAGATCATAATCCTTGGTGACTTCAACGCCCGAGTAGG